AATATAAGTTATGAGAATATAGGTTTATGTGACAAATTATGTAAAAATGAAATAATGGAATATAATAAATATGATATAGTGATTATGTGAAAATAGAAATATATAAACTATATTATGAATTAGTGATATAAGAATACGATATAAAATATGCAATAATAATCAATGTGTTATATGATAAATATAAGCATATGAGAATAAGAGATAATATATGTGACGATGAGTACTTGAATATGTATCTGTGTTATGTGACTTACGAGATCATATGAAATATTATATGACTACGTGATTATATGAAAAAGAATACATGTATATGTGATATGTGAATGTGAAGCATATGAAAAATGTTCTACGTGCAAGTGAACCATATGACTATATGAATCTGTGAAATGACATAAGTAATAATGCCCATGTTATGTGTCATGAGAGCTAGGGGTATAGTTGGCATGCCAAGAGTCAAGGGTTCTACATGGTCCTTCAGGACATATATGTAATTTTGTGGAACATATATATGGTACCTCGATACACTTATTTGGTTCATTGTATTATGTATATGGTTCTTAAGGAGTGGTCTTTCGGGACATATGTGATATGTGGTCCTTTGGGACATAGTGATCCTTCGGGACAAATTCAATGCGCCCCTAGTGGGAATTATACGAGCTGTGGTGACAGCATATGTGCACAACCTCAATGTACTCACATACCTTAAGTTCTCAGAATGTACATGGGCTAATAAAAGATAATATAAATAAACTTGATATGATGATGCGTTGGGTTCTGTGTGAAGTGATATATGATATATATATATATATATAGTTGTCATATGAATTGTTATATGATATTTGTATTAAGTTAATATGTGAAATGTGTTAGAGGAATTTTATATGATGATATGTACATTGTTGGTTAACAATGTTAGGTACAAGAGGTTATAACTAAGAGATATAATTGATAATCATGTTAATAATGATAAGAATAATAATAAGAATAATGATATGATATGAATATGTATGTATTTATGTTTTGATGCATAATGCACTCCATAGCTTGTTACGATTATACGAAATGTGCATAGTAGGAATTAGTAACGATATGTTATAGTACATTTATTTATGCCTCACTAAGTGATCGACTTAGTGTGTAAGACAGGTCAGATTCTCCTTTTCACGGATAATATCAGAAAATAAATGATTAGTATGTATTTCGTTTTATGTATATAGTTGGCATGCAATTAAGAGATTTGAATAGTTTACGCTCTCATATGTTTTTTAAATTAATTATTTTAATAAATTTGAAATTCTTCATTCTTTTGTAAAAGTGATTCTTTGAAAAGTTAATGTGACACCTCGGACTCGGATCCAGGTCGGATACGGGTTGGAGGTGTTACAATATATTTTCAAAAGCCGATTTTTTAAAAAGTATATATTAGATGCTTTCAAAAATCGTTTTCTAAAAACTATACTATATTATTATATATATAAAAAACTCTGAACGAAAATGAGTGTCTACAAAATAAAAAATGATTTTATTATTAGCCATAAACTAATAAAACATTTATAATTATTGCGATATTAGTATGAAATTTGTAAACACATACCTCTACTACTGTTTTTCTCCATTATAAATCAGATATCTTCAAGCTCATTCGGAATATGATGATGCCTCAATTTGAGAACAATTTGTTGAACAAGGACAAAAATTATATTAACACGAGAAAAATTATAATTTAAATAATAATTTATTTACTTGAAAAAAATAAATTAAAATACCTAAGGATAAAATGAAATGAGAGAATCATTACATGTACGAAGAAAAGACATTCGATACCATACCCATCATGCATCCACTTATAACATTTTTGTTTGGATTACTTGTTCTACACATTTCTCTAAAAGAAATGCTAAGATGATCGATCCCCAAATATGTGTCCATATGAATGTCTTGACCATCTCTTTTGAGTGGTCGTGTTTTAGTGTATCAAAATTTTGATTCAATCATGTCAAATGTGCTCGACCATCATTGAACTCTTCGAGGGCCTTCCCAATCAAGTTTTGGCGCATATCAAGTCATCTTGTAACATTCCTACTAATTACAACACGATAATCGACTAGGAGATCTAACTACAATACAACATATTTAAGAGTGATTGTGCACTCCGCACACGAAAAAAAGAACGTGTGCATCTCCATTCGTCACATGTCTACGAGTGCTAAAATCAGTGTTAGATTTAGTTTAAATCTCCCAACCAATCAGGATACGTATAAATAATTAGCTTGATCTAAGTACTCGATAATGACATCAAGGGAAGGTCTCCTCGCATGGTGAATGAATGCATCAAGAATACGATCATTCGTCTGATAAATTTAAATAAATATACAAATTATGTATTTAAAATATATTAAAAAAACAATGAACAAAAACCTTATAAAAAATAATTGCTTACCATATGTGATAAAAGAAATGTATTTCGCGTTTAATTGTTGTATTTTCATTTTTATACTGTCAGGTAATAACTTAAACAAATAATAATATTAATTATAAAATAAAAAATAAAAAAATTATTAACATTATGTTTTAATTTTTTTTGTAATTTTTTATATATCAGGATTCATATTAAATTTAAGTGATAAATATACACCAAAAACTTAGTCGAAGTGAAGTATTTATTTTTAGAATAAAAATATATTAATGTTATAATAACTAAAACAAATACTATGTTAGTTATATGAATATAATAAATAAAATAAATATGATTAAATAACTATACAGAAATTAAATAATTATAAAATAAATAAAACTATTAACATCACGTTTTGAAAATTTCTTAATTTTGTATATATCAAAATCCATATTAAATGACGAGTACAAAGCATACACCAAAACATTAATCAGAATGAAATATTTATTTTGAAATAAAAATATAAAATTTAATTATATAATATAATAATAAACTCATAAATAAAAAAAACATACCTTTAAATTTTTTTCATTTAAAAACTCGTGATTTTTTATATATATTTTTGGTGTAAAAATGGAAGAGATGTGAGGTATTTAGGTTAGAAAGACCGTTCAATAAAAGATCATTTTCTCTAAAAATGTTATATTTTAGTTAAAAGTGTTGCTAGGAAATAATACTTCTATCACGAACCAAACGATTTTGATGATAAAAAAAAGTATTGTTATTATTTAAAATTCTAAGTTCTAATATCGTGAATATCATAAGTATGATTGAACATATAATAACTTTGTATTTATCACATGTTAACTAAAAATAAAGAAGGAGCCTTTAATATTTTGAAATTTTGAAAGGAATGAGTGGATAACAATTCTTTCATTCCCTTTTCAACTAATTAAAGTACTAAATTTTAATACGTCTTGCTACATAGGATAAAGATATGTCTAATCAGACACTTAATTATTGTACATTATCAAAAAAATATATAATTTCTTCAAATAATGTTCGATACTATTTATATAATAAAATTAAAAAATATTAGTATTCTCATAAATTAGTGCACATACAAATTCATATACTTCTTGACTATTCTTTCTAGCAAATTACAAACGCAAAAGCATACACTCTAGTCTATAATAATATTTTGGGTAAATTATGTATTTAGTCACCCAATTATCCATACGGTTTCATTTTGTTCATTTAATTATTTTTTATATCATACATAAAATTAAGTTTTAGTTTTATTTTGGTCACCCAAAGTTAAAAAATTTAATAATATCGCTGACATGTCACCATACAACAATGTCACATCACCATTGAAAAATAAAATAAAAAATGTCACATGATCAATTCTATTATTTTTAACGATGGGTGATCAAAGTGAAATCAAAACATAATGTTAGACATGATTTAAAAAAACAAATTGCTAGATGATCAAAACAAAACTGCACAAATAATTTAATGACTAAATACATAATTTATCCTAATATTTTTGCTGAAGAATAATTCCTAAGGAGAACAACATCGCTTTGACTTTCAACTTCATTTTCTTTCAAATGCAAAGCTTCGTTTTGACTTTCAACTCCAAACATAAAGCCAGAACCTCATACATTAAATTCATTCCACTAACCAACGAGGTATAAAATTTAAGTGAAAATCAATTTGATATCACTTAAATATATCTTGAATTCGAGATCTTATAAATTTAGAAAATCTCTACCAAAATACTCATTTATCAAAACAAATGTGCAACATGAGTTAATTTGAATTAACTATAGCAAAGCCATGAGAAATTGGAAAGGAAAAAAAAAATCATGCCACTAAAATCCAGAGCATATCTTCCACAGTAGTAAGGTAGCAGATAAAACCAGCATTTACGATGCAAGAATTGCAACTTTTCACCACATGTTCTCAAAATGAGTAATGAATATCTATAAACAAGGATTAAATAGTTATAGATAGGATGGATGTAGAATTTTATGTCAAAGGGCGAACATAAAAAAATTTAAGAGATGAAAATATATTTTTAATCGAAGATACAAAACAATATAAAAATATATAAGAATTTAAAATTTTTCGCTCAATCCATCTCTGATTACAAAAGCCGTTAAATTCACTATTGTGAATCAAAAGTTTAAACGTTATCCTATCACCTCCAAACAGGAGATTGCATAATAGATCTAAAAGCATTAAATTGCATGTACATATGTACAGAAGGATGAAATATCACATTTTTTGATGATCAGACATCTACTAAACTTTCCAATTGATCCCCTCCACCATTTTCTTTCAATCATTCTCTCTCTCTATATATAGGATCCTGTTACACAAGATAAAACTTTTTTAATTTTACATAGATTTAGAATCGTTAGATGAGTGAAAATAAATCGCTAAGATAAACAATAAGAAATGAGAAGATATTCACTGGAAAAAAATGAGTCAATATCTATCTATTTTCACTCATCCAACGATTCTAAATCTGTATAAAACTAAAGAGTTTTACGTTGTGTAAGTTGATCTAACCTATATATATATTGCTCAGTGAATGCTAGCACAGTTCAATTTCATCTTCGAGCTTCAACTGCTCTGCTGCAACTTCTTCCTCCTCATCACCAATCGAAAAATATGGATTATGTGGCTCTGGTTTGAACTTATACCCGGTAAACACATAAAACGCTAGCGTGGCCAATTCTCCGGCGACTACACTCGTCCAAAGATACTTATACGAAGTAATCGTCACAAATGTATAAACCACAACACGAGTAAAGTAAATATAACAGATAACCACGACGTAATATTGCCTAAACAGAGTCAACTTCATCAGATTCACCGCAGCTTTCCCGTCGGTCTTAGCCGCCTCTCGCAAATTCTTAATCGACCAAACGATGGGAAGCAACACCGCGCAACAACAAACGACATCGACGAGCAAAAACACCTGTTTCCACACGATCCAATCGTGACCAAACGGTCCAGTTTCATCGAGAACAATCTGAGCAACATGAGCAATGACCTGAAGTGGAATCACAATCATCAAAACCTTCTTTTCCTTGTCTTGCAAGTAAGGTTTCAGAAACGACCACCCGGTACCGATCAAAACGATCAATGAAAAAAGCATTATCCCTTTCAAGAAACTGAAGATGTAGAACAAAACATCCCAACCATGAGCGCTTCCAGTGCGTTTAATATAAGACTTATCCTCAGCTTCACATAACAAATTAATGGCCTTTAAAAGAACCACGGCCAGCATGAAGAAATGGATCCTAAAGACGGTGAGTCGTTTTATGTAAAGTACGTACACCCAAATCCCCGCCAGAGTCAAATAAACGAGGGCGAAAAGGAAGTAAATCCTAGGGAGATTTGTTAGTCCGGAGGGGAGATAATCGCGGCGATTTTCCTTACCGTCGAGATTGTACATCGCCGACCGGACTTTCATCGACACTTTGACATTGTTAAGGCAGTTGGCGAATGCAAGCGTGTATAGATCAGCATTGTTCTCTTTATAAGCGGTATCGAAACTAGATTTCCCTTTGAGGGACTTGAATTCTAAGATGAGTTCAACGAAATCGGAGTCGAGAGCGCAATCGATATACCCCTCTTCGAGTTGTAAAAGCACTTGCATCCATGCATCTCCGGTGCATAGGAAGAACCCGAGTTTGGACCTATCGAGATCAGGATTTGGGTTCGAGAGTTTGATGTTAGAGACATTAAGTTCGAGGTGGCCGGTATGAGTGAAGCCGAACTCGTCGAACGGGATTATGGGACGGTTATCATGTTGGATTTCGGCGAATCGAATCTCAGCACAAACAAAAGGAATGAAAACGGAGATCAAAAGGAAAGGCACACAGTATCGATGGACCGCCATGGGAGAAACGGAAGACAATTATGGTGTATATCTGATACAATTATCAGATCTACAATATTTTAAGTGATCGTCGAGAATTTTATGCTTCCGAGAATTACAGAATTAGAACCTGTTTTGATGTTGAGAAATAAGAAAAAACTTGTTTTGATAATAACTGCCAAAACCAACTGCTTTGAAGAGAATGTTTTGCGATAGATTTAAATTTTAGACAAATATTTAAACTTCAAAATACTATAAATAAATCTTTAAAATATTAATATCATAATAATAAGGTTATTAGATAGTTTAATTATAAACTTGAGCGTTAAATGATAATTCGAATTTAATATATAAGATACTAAGAATATGTAAATCAGAATCTATATATTGTTATACTTCTCTCGGATATATTCCATAAACAATCTCTCCGATGACTATAGCCTCTGAAACATTGTAAGACCGCCGGAGGATCAAACCAACCCTGTTATATTTCACATTATCTATTCGATCATCTGCTCTTGAAAATACTCTAACATGTTCATGTTGTAACACCCTAATCACATGAATTCGAGTGTCACACGAAATTACCAAAGTGACTAACAATTTTGTTAAACCATTTATTCGAAATTTACACAAAGTATGAAACCATAACCATTTATAAATACGGGGCCTCAATTTAAAAATCCAATAAATAAAATAATAAAATATTATACGTTTACCCATTTTACAATCATAACATTTACATGTCCACCAAGTTGTCATTATTGTATTTTGGTACTTTGAGATTCCTTCGATGATATTATTGTCTCATCGCACCCCACATAACCTGAAATATGTGAACATAAACACATTCCGAACGCTGAGCTCGCAAGTCAGGGGGCGAAACACAAGCTAGACTAGAGGGGGCCATGATCCCCCTAAATTTAAAAAATTATAATTTTGACCCTTAAAATTCTAAAAAAATTAATTTCCTCCCCAAATTTTTAGAAATTCAAATTAAATTTTTAATTTTCTTAATTAAATCCCCTCCCATAATTTTAAAAATTCTCATTAAGCCTCTAAAAATTTCAAATATTGTAGATTGACCCTAATTTTTTTGGAAAATATATAAACTAAACCCTTTAAAATTTTTAAAAATCTTAATTTAAACCTCTAAGTTTTTTAAAATTTTAAGTTGCCTCCCCAAACTCTATCACCAAGTTTCACCACTATCGCAAGCCCCGCGCCACACAATACCTCTACTATACTACATGAATACATTACATAAGCATGCCATTAGAGTATAGTCAGAGAAGCAATACTAACAATGTCATCAATGGTATCTAACCATCTATCCAAAGTATATCCACAATCACAATGGTATGAACAATGGCAGAACCACTTGGAGACGGAAGGGGACATGATCCACCACAACTTTTATGGTTTAATTGTATTTTAAGTTGTTAAAAGTTTTGAAACCATTAAAATTAAGTCATGACCTAAAATTTTATAGTTTAATTATTTTTTATAACATTATCAGTCTTAAAGTTAAATGAAATTAAATCTTGCCTCTAACAATTTTGGTTTAATTACTTTTTAAGACATGACAATTTTAACTTAAGCCTTAATCCTCTATTGTTTAGTTTATTTATCTTTTAGAACCTTATTAGTTTCAAAGATAAGCAACTTGGCCCCTCCCATAATTTCATCCTAGTTTCACCCTTGAGTATGAGTCTCATGCTTCCCCTAGTTCTCAACTAAGGGTCTGTCAATGAACATAAATATATTAGGTCTCTAATCACAATATCCTACAACTATTCATCATCATATGCAATACACAATCATCACACAACACAATGATAGCACCTGGTGTCACCATAGCCATCAAGTACTAATCATACAAAAATAAGTAAACATCATGATGTAATCCAGGGTCACATCATCATTATGGGACTTACACCCCTTTAACTTATGATAAAGGTACTCTAAATAAGATCTGGGTCACAAAGCATCCGTATCTTACTTCCAATTGATACTAATTTCCAAGTACCTAGGGTGAAATATCGGTCATAGAACATCAACATCTAACACCTAGGTAGCCTACACCTCTTGAGTAGAGAGGACATGACTAGGTCACAAAGCATCAGAACGACATCTAGCTAGTATTCTTTTAGTGTCTTGGCATGACTCTTAAGATTATTTTCAATCATCTACTTTTCATATTTTTATTCATTTCAATTTATTTAATTTATTTTTCTAAAACCCCTTTATTTTACTTTTACAGTTTTCTTGGATCAATATCAATTCAAACCAATATTGAAAATTTCTAAGTCCTTGCGAATTGACCATTTCTTCTTTATACTACGTTCTTAGTTTATTTATTTGAGAAAAATACTTTATTTATTTAAAAAATTCAATGCTTGTCAAATTGGCGTCATTGTCAGGGACTTCAACAAATTACTAATATTAATTGTTTTGATTTATGACAACCAGGAAGAATCCATGTGAACTAGTTGATTTTGAACCTGAGATCGAAGCAATAGCCCAAAGATTACATGCACACACACTTAGGGAAAGAAGACGACAACAACAAGAACAAAACCTACCTAATCCAGTTCTTGATGTAACATCTGACTTAGAATCCCTGCAAGACAATGAACCAATCCCTATGGTTGATCAAAAAAATCTGAAAACTAGCCATTGTACTTGTCGAACAAAAAAAGTATGCATCACATTCCCGAATAGAGAAACACCATTCAAACTCAAAACTGGCTTGATCCATCTTCTATATACTTTCCATGGATTGCCGAGTGAAAATATTCATAAACATCTTATTGATTTTCATATAGTTTGCTATAGCATGAAACCACAAGGAGTATTCGATGATCAAATTAAACTTCATGCCTTTCCTTTATCTTTAGCCAATTTGGCTAAGGATTGACTATTCTATTTACCACCTAATTCTATTAATACTTGGGCTAAAATGACTCGTCTTTTTCTTGACATGTTCTTTCTTGCGACGAAGACGAGTAAATTAAGATGAAGCATCTTATGAATCTGACAAAGGGATGGAGATTCGTTATACGACTATTGGAAACTATTCAAGAAACTTTGTGCTAGCTGTCCACAGCACGGGTTAACCGAATAGAATCTCCTCTAATATTTCTTTGAAGGACTACTTCATTTGGAGATGAGGATGATTGATACAGCTAGTTGTTGATCACTTGTGAATATGATTCCGCATGCGTCCACAAATCTAATTTCTACCATGGTCTCTAACTCTCAACAGTTTGGCTCTTACAGTGAACCTACTCGTCGAGTTCACGAGATAAGTACAATTTCATTGGAAAATAAAATTGATAAGATGGTTGATATTATTCTATCTCTTGATGTAGGCAAAACATGTACCACTAGACTTTGCGAAATATGCACAAGGTCAGACCATCCCATTGATTGTTGTTAGATGTTACAAGAAAACAGTACTGCACAAGTAAATATAGTTGGTAATTTTCTAGGACCTCCCTAGAAACCTTACAATCCTCACATAAATACCTATAATCCGAGGTGTATAGATCATCCGAACTTTAGCTATGCACAAAATCCTTGACTAAATCAGTCATATCAACTGATGCCACTACCACAATAATCGTACCAATCATCGACATTATCATTAGAGTCCATCGTCAAACGTTTGGCGTTATCCTATGAGAAGTTTCAACAATGGACTAAGGCACATCTACAAGAGTTAGAAAAGAAAATATACCATTTGGCTCAAACCGTGGGACGAATAAAATCGCAAGGAAGGGTACCATCTTAAACCGAGGCTAACCCATAAGAAAACGTTAGTTCCATCACCCTTCGGAGTGGCACTGTTATCGCACCAATACCTAAAGATGATGTCACAAGTTCCTAAGAAAAAGAAAATGTTACCGTAGAATCCCATAAAGAATGATGCAAGATCTCATAGGAAAAAGAAAGATGAATTGCAACCTTCTCCCACGATTTATCCCTATATGAAGCCACCTCCCCTTCCATCAAGGTTGGTTAAACGAGATACACAAGTCGAGGAAAAGAAGATTCTTGATTTTTTTTTTCAAAAAGTGGAGATAAACATACCTCTTCTTGAAGTAATATGAAAAGTACCAAGGTATGCCAGATTCTTGAAATATCTTTGTACAAATAAAATGAGACTTACTCGAAATGAGAAGGTAAACTTAGGTGAAAATGTATAAGTTTTTTTTACAACGTAGGCTTCCACCTAAGCTAAAGGATCAAAGTATGTTTGTTGTACTCTGTAAAACTGGTAAGGTAGGAATTAAAAGAGCTATGTGTGATTTGGGTGCTTCCATAAATGTTATGCCCTATGTCTACTATTTGTGAGTACTATATATGGGTGCGGAAATTTATGCAAGTATACACAATCAAACAAGTAATAAAGTGATGAGTGAGTATTGTTCTCCATAGGGATTGGGGGAAATCAAATAAGTTTGTCACGACACTTTACTCTGTCACCTAAGTAAAGTTAGAGATGGTATATATACAAATGATAATGCTGTGGCAAAATGAATGGATGGTTGGAAATGGAACGATGGCAATGTGGTAGTAAATGGATATGTTGTGGCAAAATGGATTGTGTGTAGTGCAATCAAATAAAAATGTAAAGGTAAAATAAATTGTAAATACTGGATTTGATTATAAGGACTTTAGACTCCTCACACGACAAGATACTATGGGAATGAGTGATAGGAGTTGCTTAGGAAATTTAAGTCTACTTCTCATAATGGTCTTACTTCTATGCCTTCTCTGCCTAATAGAGTTTTCTAAGGGTGCCCTATGCTATCTCTAGTTAAGAGTCTTGACAGATTGAAGATGCATTGGCAAAACCGATTGGCGTTAGCTACTGCAAGGATCCTATTGGTCCAGATAATAGGGTATGTCTCGGTAATACCTTTTTGCGGTAGCTTTAACATCTAACCTATCGCTCATGCACAACTCCTTTTAGTCGAATAAAATCCTAGCCTTATCTCTAAGGTGGATTAGGCCTAGTTACAATCTAGA